TCTCCTTCTTTGTTCACAGCCTTCACGCGGAATTTGTAAGATTTGCCTTCTTGGAGGCCGGAAACCTCAGCCTCTGGAGTCACCGACTTTCCAGCTGGAAGCCATTGACCTAGAAAAAGCAGCGCAAAATTTAGTTTTTTACTGGACGAAGGGAAAAATGAATGTTTGATTGTTAATTTTTCTTAGGTTTGCTGCTTTTGTGCTGATTTTGGTTTGTTTGCCGCACTTGGGGTTATTTTCACGGATTTATATTTCAACGATTCTTGACTCTTTTTGAAAGAGAATAAATAAAAAGAAAATACCTCAAGCCTAATACAGTATGTTTGTAAACGAGGTTGATGTGCCACATTTTTGTGTTGTATGCAAAGTTAACAAGCTTTGTCAAATTGATTTAAAAAAAATCTCGTATGAAACAAATCCTGAATCTGGAAGGAAGATTCCAACTGCTCAGAAGCAATCTGATCGCAATGTTTGTGTTAGTCATGCTGGATAAGCCTTAAATTGTCCGTAAACCAGCGAGAAGTTCATCAAGTCTGGGACAAAATGAAAGAACGTTTTCAGTGAATGAACAGACGCTTGCTTTTCAGGTTAGGAGAGATTTTCAAGCCCAGAATTCCGGCTAAAAAAAAGAGTCCCCCAAAAAACTTCGTATTAAGGAATTCAAGGTACCGGTGGACCCTCTCTCTCTCTGCAACGATTTTTCGCTGTACAACGGATTTTCTTTTTGTGGCCCCATAAGGTTCTCTACCCACATTATAGGAGTACTGTTTGACGAAGTTCTCTTTACAAGGAATTTTCCCGCTGTCTCTCGAATTTCGTTGTAGAGAGAGTCTACCTGTATTGCCAACTATTTTGTACCATACCGGGTGTGATGAAATGCTCGTAATTTTGGGCTAAAAAAAAAAAGGATTGTGTTCGCATAAAACCAATCAAAAACTTTTGGTAACCTGTACAGGTAAAAGAGTTAAAGCATCATGAGTTAGCCTGAAGGCGGTAGCAGTAGGCCGAAAAAGGTGAACTCGAACGTAGGCAGAAACGCTTGCAGCCTTTGTCGTTCTCCTGGTAACGGTCTCCCAGGAACACCTAAAGAGAGAAAAATTAGTTTTGAGAATAATATTGTACGAATTACTGTATTTAATTTATGAAAGACTGGCGAAATCTTACCCAGAACAATGATTTCAACTTCAGCCGTGTCTTCGCCTGAAGAATTCTTTGCATGAATGAAGTATTTTCCCGAATCCTTGCGAGATGCTCGGAACAGAATCAACTTCGTGTGATAGTCGACGTTGTTGATTTCTCGTTGATCTTCCGATTGTATTTTCTGGAAAGCCGCAGAAAATTATTAAAACCACAATGACAAAAATTAAGACCTCTCAGATATTATTTTTGTTTTGTTTTTGAAATACTGTATGAACTTTCTTTTGTCTCATTTTATTAAAATTTGTATTTGTGTCGAGGCAAAAAATGTACAAATACTCAAATACGGTCATCTCTTTTTTTTAAACTTTCTGATGATTCTTTGAATTGTGTTACGGTTTACGGATTCGTGAGATGTTCCATCATTTTTTATTTTTTAAACTTAAGCAGGATTGCTTATCCTTTGAAATGATGACATCAATCAAGTTTTAGAACATGACGAGCTAAAAACAAGCGACCAATTGCGAACCCGGATATTTTATAGTGCGTCGCTAATTTAAAAAAATCGTAATCCATCGTAATTGATTGTTGTGAAATGGAGATACTGTAGAGTACTATGAGAACGTATTTATTATGAAACATATTCATATTCACGATTAAAAATAAAGCATCAATGTTGTTGAACAGTAAAACGAAAAGCTTTTCGGATGCGTGAAAATTCCCAAAAATTGCGCCTAGGCTCATTTTCAGGATAAATAGATTGCGTTTTTGGGCTTGAAAACACTGGAACTTTTCAAATGTAAGGTTTTCTCAGTTTGCATTCACCTCATCCCTGAGTTTCCAAGTCACTTCTGGTGGCGGCTCTCCAATAACATCCACATCCAACACAACTTGTTGTCCGACTTTCACAGTCACTTGGTTCAAGTTTGTTCTGTCAATTCGAGGTGCAACTGCGCAAAAAAAAAATTTGTTTTTTTTTTCGCGCATTGAATTAAATCAAATTCAAATGTGTCCTGTTATGAAATGACGCGTGTTTCAGTTTGCATGACTTACGATATCGGGCCTTGGCCGTGTGAGGATTTGTGTGCTCTGAAGGTTCACCAGGTCCAGCTTTGTTGATGGCTTTGACCCTGAATTCGTACTTGTTACCTTCTTCTAGGCCTTTGACTTGACCCTGGCAACGATTTCCACTGACCTCTGCGGCTTTCACGAAATTGCCTCCGTACTTGTCCCGCATTTCAATGATGTAACCTACGAGTAAAACGAGTTCAATGCCAAAGTATTCATTTTTTTTTAAATGAGGGCTTTTCCTAAATGAAAAGCAGACTCGCGTGGAAAACGTCTGGGATTACTGGAGACATTTTCGGTAGTTGATGAGGACATTTTGGGAAGTCGAGAAATTCTTGGGTTTTCATTTCTTCATTTTGGAAATATACGGTATATATTTTTTAAAATTTCGAAGTGTATTTGCTGACCTGTGATTGGTGATCCACCGTCTTTGTTTGGTGGGTCCCACTTGAGCTGCACCATGTGCTCGTCCCAGTCCACAATGTCTGGCATTGAAGGTGGTCCAGGGATTACTGTTGAAAATTGAAAAATGAATCACGATTACATTAAAAAAAAGGATCAAATCAATCAATTTCCTGGTGTTTAATAGAAGAATGAATGCGATCCCATTATTTCAGACTGTGGTGTTTTCGGTTTTTGTCTTCGAGAAAATGCCGGCACTAGTTTTATTTTTTTATTTTGGATTCTATGTAAGAAATCAAGATTTAGTTACATTTTTTGAAGATGTTTTCAATGATTTTGAGTAATTCTATTACAGCTCCCGCATACTCATGCTTCTCTTGCCTTTTTCGTTTCTCTCCTTTTACTATTCTCGTGAATCTTCCGAGTTGATTTCAAAAATCATCGTGCGCAAATTGTCATTAGAAGAGTTTGATTAACTTCAGTATTTAATTTCTCTGACATAAATTGATGAAATCCTTCCAATTGCGATGGGTATACGACAAATAACATTATGAGCGAAGGAGCAGAAAGCGTACATTTGGACTTCACGAAGGAATTCACGCAGACACTTTGTTGTATGTTACATATCTTTTGAGTTTAAAACCAACCATTTTGTCAAAAAATTTGAAATGTGATGAATTTCTTCCACTCTCGAGCACATCGAATAAATTCCAGGCGCGGTTTTCTGTGAAAACTGCAAGCATTTTTAAATGCCTGATTAACAAATTATTCCAAGAGTGACTGTGTGGCAATCAAAAGACAATGTCTGAAAGATTTTTCGAACAGCTGAAAAGAACCAAAAGTTCTGCTTCAGAATATCTTTGCTGCATAGGCGTTTGAAATGTTCGATGTACCTCGCAACATTTTGCATTTAATTTAATTTTAATTTTTATGAAATACAGTATATCACTTTATTGTACAAGTGCGGAAAAGCTGCAATACGTATTAACTTACCGTTGCCCAGGAAACGATGTTACCGAAACAGCGGTAGGTTGCCAAGCCTAAGCGGAAGAAGCAAGTGCCGGAACTGGGCCTTAAGCATGAACACTGGGCCAAGCTCCGGGAACTAAAGACGGCAGCAGAGGTCCGCTGACTGGGCTACACGGCCTTGGGTTGCTGGGCAGTGTTGCAGGTAGAAAAGCTACCACATAGGTCTCTACCCGTCAGGTGGTAGTAGGAACCCGAAAAGGGTGAACTCAAACGTTGGAAGAAACACTACATCCATGATTTCCAGGGGACCTTCTGGTTTTCCGGGCTTGTCTGTGATTTGCAAATACAACGAGTATAATATATTTTACAGGCAAAGTGATGCCGTCAAAAACTGTCTGTAGCGGAAATCTGCGGGGCTTAACTAAAACAAATTGACTGGTTTTGAAGATGTTGAACCTCATGAACGGGTTTTAATATTATATTATTTAATCAGGGGATTATTGGAGCCGATACAATGTATTTTCTGCTGTGGTTTTATTTGAATAAGTGTGACCATTTTATAATATAAAATAAAGTTTAAAAAAACTACGAAGAATGAGAGGGATTCGTCATTTGGTTCCTTTCAAGTACTCAACGAAGTTTACCCAATTTTTGCACATCTTTAAATAGTGGGAATACCAAAAGGCTAAAATGATGCAGTCCATAATAACTGTGAAGTACTCAAATTTGCAGGGCTGACCAAAAACAGTCTACCGATTTTAAACATATACGGCTTGAATCTTCACATAAAAAAATACTGCAGATGAAGCATGATTCTATTCATTTCCAAACTGTTTTATGGAATGTTAAAGTTTTTAGCCAATTAAAAATTTCATAACGGTTGTTCTAGACTCTAGAAAACCTTGTTAGAAAATTATGACACAGATAGTAAAAATTTGAATGACGCATGTCTGGGTTGAAAGAAGTCATCAATAGACTCATCTGATACGGAAGAATATTAGTGTAAGCAGGTCTTTGACGTGAAAGCATAGACTTCCCCATTTTAAAGCACACACATTGGAGGCGCTTCTAATAAAAAAAAATACAGGTAGACTCTCTCTACAACGATTTTCTCTGCACAAAGCCATTTTTTGGGTCCATGGGGTCATTTCTCTACAACGAATTTTTTTCTCGTCCCCGGAAATTTAACAGCTTTTTATATCCTTCACGAATTTTATTATTATGCCCGACTAAGAGAGATGTTACTAAAAGAAACGTATTGCTTGACGTAACCCAGGTACCCCCAAGAGATATGTCGCTTAATAGAAGACCAGGGGACTTTTTCGTTGTAGAGAGTCATCCAATATATCGGCTTACGTACAATGAAATATTGTAAAACGCCGTGCGAGGTAGAATTTTTACAAGAGTTTCAGAGTAGTGTGTATAAGAATTACGTATTATAACACATAAAATAATATAAATATAATTACCAAGGATGGTAATTTCGACGGTCGCTTCGTCACTGCCGGACGAATTTTCCGCGTAATATCAGGTCTCTGGTCTTTCGAAGGAGCTGCACAGTCACTCCTAGTCAAAGCACTCCATCAGAAGTAAGAGGTGGAAACACAGACGCCTTTAGAGCTGCTGGAACAAGAACTTAAAGGTCCAGTGGCTTGGTGGCGGTTCACCCTTGATATCGACCTCGTATCGCACAGCATTTGAGCAACGAACAATGATAGGCTTCAGTTTGTCTCGGTTTATCCACGGCTTTACTGTGGGAGGGAAATAAATGCGTTGACATTTAATGGCCGAGCGATTTTTTGATTGTCAAATACTGTAATTGAGTTGATACTTTTTCAGAGGGCGAGAGTTGATTCATATTCTTTTTTTACAGTCCTGGGCTTTTTGTTGTTGTTTAATTTATGGAAATGGACGTTAACTTTTGTGGGGTAATATTTCAGAAATGACTCATCATGAAGTTATTTGTTTATCTCGTGGGTTGAAATTGATCGAAGTGACAGAAGTTGAAAGTTCATGTGATCATAATATGGTGTTTACTTGCTTTATACTCTTGAAAATTTCGTGGATTTTCAAATACTGTATTCCAAGGGTTACCAAACAATGGATTTTGAATTTTAATTTTAAATCCTTGGGAATCCTTCAGGAAATCTGGAAATCCATGTACGAATGGAAATGCTATGATCTTCAAAAATTTTCTTGTGTTTGCAGTTGTCATTGTAAACTTTGACACACAAAAAATTGGAATTCGTTAAAAATACATGCTCGTCTCTTTTGGAAAGCCTTGAATATGAAACAGGAGCTCTATTTTTAGCTTCTCAGTTGGCAACCGTGATTTATGTATAAAAGACCGCGATTTTTAAAGTTGATGCATTCATAATTTTAATCGGAGGTACATTCTTTAGATCTTTCCAACAGTCTCTCGTAAAGTGTACATTATTTGAAACTCATTATTCAAGTCAAACACGCAAACAATTTTACCTGCTCTGTGTGTAATTATTAGTCTAATTATTGACTCGAATGCTTTATTGTCAAACAATTCGAACCTACCCCGTTTTTAAAATTCTGTTTCTGACGATGCACGTGGTTGCATAAAATGTTGGAGCTCTAAAACTTCGCCTGAAAATTAAACCTTGAAAATTCAGAAAATTGCTGTCCTTGGATTTCCTCAAATCTTTACTCGGGAAATTTGTTACAATTTCTGTGGGTTTCTCAGAAAATCGTATATGAGGAGAAAATTGGCTATTGCTAGTACTGTATATAAATGCATGCTTTTTTTTTAAATGAAGATTGAATATCTTAATACTCTATGCATTTTTTTTTTTCAAAGCAATTTTTTAGGTATCCACGGGGTTTAAATGATTTAGACTTGCAGAGTTCATTCACTCACGGAATCGAGCCTTTGCAACATGGGGTTTGGTTGGTTCCGAAGGCTCACTGGGTCCAGCCTTGTTCACAGCCCTGACGCGGAACAGATACGTATGTCCTTCTCTGAGTCCAGGAACACGAGTGTGGCATTCAGAGCTCTGTTCAACGCGTTCATATACGATAACAATTGGTATAAGGCATTTCATTCAGCGTGATGTGATGATGAATTAAGTATTGCAATTACTGAATCCGGGTTATAGTCACCTCAGAAATGTGGATCTCTTCCCAACTTCCGGTGAGCTTCTCTTTGGCTTCGACGATGTAAGAGGTGATGGGGGCGCCGTTGTTTGACTTGGGTGCGTCCCATTTGAGATCGACTCGGTCCACGTCCCAGTCCACGATTTCCGGACAACCTGGTTTATCCGGCGGATCTGGTAGAACGAAAATAAAAATAATAATGTTTCTTCAGTGATCGTTCTCTGCGATAGATCGAGAAAAATCACAAGATGCCCGCATAATTTTTGCCGACCTTCCGAGCGAACAGAATTTTTGCTGACCAAAGCCATACTTTTTGACCATTTTATTTTCGCATTTGGTCAAGATAATCTCGGATGAAGCGAATGTCTCAGGAAAAAAATGAAGTTGTGGGTGTGGCCCTCGATATATTTTTGAACGGCAATTTTTTCTTTAGGGTGCATACAAGAACATCCTTTGTTATTTATAACTGTTCTGTCTTGTAGTTCATGGTTTTACATGATAATGTTTCCGCATTTGTGATTTATTTATCTTTCCTATTTTTTGACGTGAAATACTGTACTACAGCTTTTGGATTACAGGAGCGAAGGGAAAAGTTGAGGTGGGAAAATTGTTATTTTTAAAATTAATTTGAGGGAATAAAACTGCGGATGACCAAAAATATGCAAATCATTTCTTTCAAAAACTTTTCCTCGACAATTTGATTCGTAATTTATGAAATGCCAGCCTATATTCAGCTTCAATTGAAGGCCGTTAGATGAATTCTGCACTTATTTATTCATGTAANCCAAGGATGGTAATTTCGACGGTCGCTTCGTCACTGCCGGACGAATTTTCCGCGTAAATAGTCCAGAGACCAGAAAGCTTCCTCGACGTGTCAGTGAGGATCAGTTTCGTGAGGTAGTCTTCATTCTCCACCTTTGTGTCTGCGGAAATCTCGACGACCTTGTTCTTGAATTTCCAGGTCACCGCTGGTGGCGGTTCACCCTTGATATCGACCTCGTATCGCACAGCATTTGAGCAACGAACAATGATAGGCTTCAGTTTGTCTCGGTTTATCCACGGCTTTACTGTGGGAGGAAATAAATGCGTTGACATTTAATGGCCGAGCGATTTTTTGATTGTCAAATACTGTAATTGAGTTGATACTATTTCAGAGGGCGAGAGTTGATTCATGTTATTTTTTTACAGTCCTGGGCTTTTTTGTTGTTGAATTTATGGAAATGGACGTTAACTTTTGTGGGGTAATATTTCAGAAATGTCTCATCATTAAGTTATTTGTTTATCTCGTGGGTTGAAATTGATCGAAGTGACAAAAGTTGAAAATTCATGTGATCATAATATGGTGTTTACTTGCTTTATACTCTTGCAAATTTCGTGGATTTTCAAATATTCCAAGGGTTATCAAACAATGGATTTCGAATTTTAATGGAAAAATCCTTGGGAATCCTTCCGGAAATCTGGAAATCCATGTGCGAATGGAAGTGCTATGATTTTCAAAAATTTTCTTGCGTTCGCAGTTGTCATTGTGAGCTTCGACACAAAAAATTGAAATTCATGAAAAAAATGCTTTTCTCTTGTGGGAAGTCTTTCATATGAAAGAGGAGCTCTATTTTTAGCTTCTCAGTTGGCAACCGTGATTTATGTTTGAAAGACCGCGATTTCTTAAGTTGATGGATTCATAATTCCAATCGGAGGTACATTCTTTAGATCTTTCCGACAGTCTCTCGTAAAGTGTACAGCACAGTATTTGAAACTCATTATTCAAGTCATACACGCGAACAATTTTACTTGCTTTGTGTAAGTATTAGTCTAATTACTGATGCGAATGCTTTATTGTCAAACAATTCGAACCTACCCCGTTTTTAAAATTCTGTTTCTGACGATGCACGTGGTTGCATAAAATGTTGGAGCTCTAAAAATTTGCCTGAAAATTAAACTGAAACCTTGAAAATTCAGAAAATTGCTGTCCTTAGATTTCCTCATATTTTTACTCGGGAAATTTGTTACAATTTCTGTGGGTTTCTCAGAAAACCTGAGATGAAAAAATTGGCTATTGCTTGTATAAATGCATGCTTATAAAAAAATGAAGATTGAATATCTCAATGCATTTTTTCAAGGCAATGTTTTGGGCATCCAGGGGGTTTAAATGATTTAGACTTGCAGAGAACATTCACTCACGGAATCGAGCCTTTGCAACATGGGGTTTGGTTGGTTCCGAAGGCTCACTGGGTCCAGCTTTGTTCACAGCCCTGACGCGGAACAGATACGTATGTCCTTCTCTGAGTCCAGGAACACGAGTGTGGCATTCAGAGCTCTGTTCAACGCGTTCATATACGATAACAATTGGTATAAGTCATGTCATTCAGCGTGATGTGATGATAAATTAAATACTCATAACGTTAATGACTTAGGCCCAATATCAGTGGAGTCTTTACACCTAGAGAAGGGTTGAAGGCCACTCGAAGAGAAACCGAAGTTGCTACATTCTCCACTACCCCCGCGGCAACAAACTGAACCCAGCGTCCCATTTGAGATCGACTCGGTCCACGTCCCAGTCCACGATTTCCGGACAACCTGGCTTATCCGGCGGATCTGGTAGAACGAAAATAAAAATAATAATGTTTCTTCAGTAATCGTTCTCTGCGATAGATCGAGAAAAATCACAAGATGCCAGCATAATTTTTGCCGACCTTCCGAGCAAACAGAATTTTTGCTGACCAAAGCCATCCTTTTTGAGAATTTTATTTTCGCATTTGGTCAAGATAATCTCGGATGAAGCGAATGTCTCAGGAAAAAAATGAAGTTGTGGGTGTGGCCCTCGATATATTTTTGAACGGCAATTTTTTCTTTAGGGTGCATACAAGAACATCCTTTGTTATTTACAACTGTTTTGTCTTGTAGTTCATGGTTTTACATGCGAATGTTTCCGCATTTGTGATTTATTTATCTTTCCTATTTTTTGACGTGACATACTGTACTACAGCTTTTGGATTACAGGAACGAAGGGAAAAGTTTAGGTAGGGAAATTGTTATTTTTAAAATTAATTTGAGGGAATAAAACTGCGGATGACCAAATTATACGTTTAGTAAAGAAAGTTTTTGAAAAGGAGCTGTTAAACTAAGCATTAAATACTTTACGGTCGGATATAAGTCGAAGTTAACTTCCGGCAATCTACTTAAGACGTGAATAAATAAGTACATTCAGATAGTGTTGGGGGAAATTCTCGGAATTAGCAAGAAAAATGCGAAATGAGGAAAAGCATTTTGGTGTAAGAATGATTGAAAAGGCATCGTGCTAAAAATTAATTGGTTATTCAGTGGCCGATTAACTTCACCAAGCTGTTACTTTTTCCTGGACTCCACTAGTCTCTGAAGTCCTATTTGTCAAAGGGGGAAAATGATGACTTTGCTTTTAAAAAATGATTGCATTCTTTAGCCCAAAAAATTTGACATCGGGTCTTGTTTAGATGTGAAAATCCCGTATATTTCACTTTCCGATTATAAATTTACTTATAGTTTTTTAGCATTGCGCTAAAAATGTATCGGTTATTCAGTTGCTGATAAACTTCACCCAGCTTTTACTTTTTCCTGGACTCCACGTTCGAGTCCCCGAAGTCATCTTTGTTAAAGGGAGGAAAATGATACCATTACTTTTTTTGATGAAAAATGATTGTATTCTTTGGCCCAACAAATTTGACTGGGTCTTGTTTATATGTGAAAATCTCGTATATTTCACTTACCGAATGGATTTCGGGCCTTGACTGCCTTGTCTGTCTGTAGTGGCTCAGATTCTCCTTCCTCATTGACGGCTTTCACGCGGAATTCGTATTCTTTCCCTTCTTGAAGACCTCCAACTTCCATTTCGAGATCCTCTGGACCAGCTCTTCCGGCTTGCATCCATCTTCCTGTGCCCTTCTCCATCTTTTCCACGATGTAAGCTGCACGAGGAAAAAAAAAGGAATGTATCGAGTTAATAAAATGTGATTGATGATGATGATTATAGGTTATTATCACCTTGAATTGGCTTTCCGCCATCGTCATCCGGTTTGCCCCATTTGACTTTGCAGTGCTTAGCAGTGACATCTTTCACTTCCAAAGGTCCCTTTGGCCGCGACGGAGCACCTGAACATCAGTCATGATTAATTAAACGTAATGTTTCTGATTAAAATCCTGTGGTAAATGAAGTCCTTTTAAAATGCCTTCTTTATTCCGCGGAAAGAAACTATTTTTAATGCGAAGAAATTTTTCAATTTTTGAAATGTCTCGAAGTTGAACGATTGAACGGATGGGCGTGAAATTATACAGCTTCAAAAAATTGTTCCAGAATTGTTGAACGGAAGCCTACTCACCCAGTATGACAAGTTCGAGATCAGCTTCATCTCTGCCGTGTTGATTCACAGCCACGATCTTGTACATCCCAGAGTATTTCCTCAAGGCGTCTGACAATACGTATTTTGTATTGTAATCCACGTTTATGATCTCCAAGGTTCCCTCGGACACCATCTGAAAAGTTTAGTAACTTCATCAAGAATCGGTAAACTAAAAAAAAAAACTGTCGTCTCAGAAATCAAACTTCCGATGCTCTGGCAAAAGAAAATTTCGCCCGCGAATGAACCAGCCGGAAAAAATTCTCTAAGCAAACTGTCCAAACAAATATTTAAATGATATAATAAATCATTACCTCTTTCTCTTTGAGAATCCACGTGACAAGTGGTGGTGGTTCTCCTCGTATATTGATGTCGAATTTGATGGACTTCCCGGCTTTGATGGTTGTTTGCTTGATATTGGTCCGATCAATGTGTGGTTTGACTGCAATAGAAAAGATGAATACTTAATCAATAAATTGTGGTCCCAATGGCTCCGTTCCATCATTGAAATATCTTTCAGAAATACGGAGAGATGTCACCAGAATCATTGAGCTGACTAAAATAAACTTGATCTTCCACAAATAACTTGATTAATCTAGCTCATTGATGTAGCTAGCTTCAGGGCGACATTTAAACAGTGAAAATATCAAACAGAATGGTCAATGTGTTATCAAAGGAAAATCGAAAAGATTAGAAAAGAAGCAAAAGGCTTCGATCAATTTTTCACATTCTCAACAAGAATTGATCTGAAGAAATTGAATTTTCCAAAGATTTTACCAAAAATTACTGACCTATAAAAACAATTACTAGGATCCGGTTCCAGTTCAAAAACCTGGACTATTATAATTTATGCTATTCAAATGGACCTAGCTTCAACTAAGCGAAACTTTAACACGCTTTCAGCGACACCTGTGAAAGATGCCCAAAAATATTGGACCTCATAAGAAGTGAAAAGAATATATATACTGTTTGTAAAAAAAACATGATGAGAGGATTTTCCCGATTAATTTGTCACAAAAACGTTTCTCCATGAAGATTTTCGCCTTTGAAACAGTAACGTGGCGTGAAATTTGGAAAAGAGTCCAATTTGATCCAAATATAAATTTTGTGCAGTATTGCAACCTCATCTGACCTTGACACAGTGAAGCGTGACATCTATTCTATTCCCGATGAGGAAAAACTTGTGTCGGTGACACAGGGTATTCGTATTAAGAGTACCAAGCAAGGAATTAGTTTACTGTTCGCGAAAGGTTCACGTAAATTTCTGTCGCATGTCCAACATAAGTTTGTTCATCATATGAACAGTTCATTCGTCAATATATCTGAAAATAGCGTAACGGATTCCACCATTTCTGTGTAAATTTTGTTAATATTGTTAATTCTTTAATTGCTTTTTTGTGGCACGTACAATACATGGAAAGAAACTTACGGGCTTTATGTTTGACCATGTGCATCTTCGTGGGCTCTGAATGAGGCCCAGGTCCAGCTTTGTTGACTGCAATAATCCGGAACATGTATTCGGCGCGCTCAATCAAATCCTCGACGTGGGCTTCAGTTACGTCGCCGTTCACGTCCATTGCACGCTCCCATTCCGGCTTGAAACGATCCTTTTTCTCGATGATGTATTTGAGGATCGGAGATCCTCCGTCTGTCTTTGGAGGCTCCCATTTGAGGTCCACGCTTTTGTTGTCGTAGTCCACGATTTCTGGAGTCCCGGGTTTGCCAGGGGCATCTGAACGAAGTAAAAAAAAAAGGAAAATGTGTCAGAGCTGCGAAGTTTGTTTGCAGGAAATTTCTTGAGACTCGAACGGAAAGGTGAGAATGACGTCTATTTGCTATTCATTTATTCAATGATAGGGGGTTATTACGGCCTTGGAGCTATAGCTATGCCATGAAAGTTTCGAAGCATAGTACTGTATCATATTTACGCGAATTTGTTTTTTTTTTGCGCAGATTTTGGGAAAAATCAATCCCCACATAAAGCGGGGATTGATTAACCCAATTTTCTGCGAGCCAAAATTTTTATTGCTTAGCAAATTAATTTTTTGTGTGCAGATTTTGGGAAAACATCGATCCCCGCATAAGGCGCGCAACCCGATTTTCTGCGACGAAAATCCTCATATTTAAGAAATCAAAGCAAAAATGTTACGTCGACTTCAGGCGTAAAATTTAAATCAAATTGTGCTGCAATTGCTTCTTTCACGTTTTCATTCTCTATAGTTTGATCGAAGTCTGAGCACATAATTCATTCTGGTCTCTGAAAAGTGATTCCCTTAACCTTCATTGAATGCGTTCCAATTACAGTATGACGCACACGAAAAATTCAGAACAAATTGCAAAGAAAAAATATGACGCGAACAGCAATTTGAGTCGAATTTTTGAGGAAAAATAATCGGATGTTACGCCAGTAATTAAATTAGGGACCTTAATTCCTGTCGCGAAAACAAATGGAAATAATTTATCTAGCTACAGTATACGAGGGTTCTACCAAAAGTTCTCGGAATGAAAATGAAAATGGCGTCTGATTGAGCTGAAAAAAAAAAATTAGGGACCTTAATTCCTGTCGCGAAAACAAATGGAAATAATTTATCTAGCTACAGTATACGAGGGTTCTACCAAAAGTTCTCGGAATGAAAATGAAAATGGCGTCTGATTGAGCTGAAAAAAAATTATTCTTTAGGGCAAACATATTCTTCGGCACAGGAATAATCAGCCCTTTTTGACCATTTTTTTCAATTTTTTGCAAAATTCACCCTGGCAGAGTTTTGCTATACACTCATCAGATGATTTTTTTTTGTGCCGAAGAATATGTTTGCCCTAAAGAATACTTTTTTTTCAGCTCAATCAGACGCCATTTTCATTTTCATTCCGAGAACTTTTGTTAGAACACTCGTATGAAGTTCGTCAACCGATGACGAAGTGATAAAATCTTGAGTACGGTAACTTCAGCCAATCACAGTAACATCCAGCTACGTTAATGCACTGTATAGGTTTTTTCGCATTCATTTTTGCTTGTTTCACCAAGCGGAGAATGGCAAATACTGTATATAAGGGTTTGCAATAAGTTTCGCTCATGCTCTCTGGCCATTTTAGGAGATTTTTTTTTTAATGCCATGTCACTGAAAGGAAACATTTATGAGAGAATTTCCCTAGGCTGACAGAAATGGCTGATTTTTCAGCGAACGCAGAATTTCATTGAATTCTTTTTCGCGCTGCGAAATGAATCCCTTTTTTTGACATTGAGATTAAAGATGATCTCACCGTAAGGATTTTTCGCCTTGATGGGCGTCTCCAGAACAAGTGGGTCAGAGTCGCCTTCATTATTGATGGCTGTGACACGGAATTTGTATTCGTGGTCTTTTTCGAGTCCTGTCACGTCCATGGATTCTCTGTCACCCGGAACACGTCCGACTCGCATCCATTTGCCAGTTTCCATGTCGAACTTCTCGATGGAATATTCTTTAATCGGGGTTCCGCCGTCGTCTTCTGGCTTTTGCCACTTGAGCTTACAACCCTCGTCGTGAATGTCAGTTGCTTCCAGAGGACCACGCGGTTTCGACGGAGGTCCTATTTAAAAAAAAAAAAAAGAGAGATATAAATTAGAAATAATTATTTCAGAATTAAATTCAATAATTCAGGGCTGAACTAGCTTTTTTAAAGTCACTGTTGTGCTACAGCAAGCTTATGCATTACAGTGGGATGAAAAATTCGGCCGTGAGTCATCAAGTAAATTGCTGTTTCACATCATTGAAGAATAATTGTTACTTTCCTGTTATCTCAGTACTGTACCTACTTTATGTGCACCTACCAGAAACTGTGAATTTCATTTTTCCGCATTCTGCCGAAACTGATTTTGGGAGGCGGTTAGGTAAAGTTAGGTTAGGTCAGGTTATGTTAGTTACAAATATCTTTCAATTAACAAAACCTGACCTAACCTAACCTAACAAATACTGAATTCACGAGACAAAGAAAAATGGGTACTGAGGATAACAGGAAAGTACCAAATAATTTAATTTGATAGACGTGAGTATGAAGCTCAAGATCTGTCAGTTGGGTAAATTTTAATATGATCGCAAAAAAGTTGTGGAAATATTGCAAGATGCAATTTGAGACCACGTAGAAGTCAGGGGGATATTTTAAAAATTGGATATGAACTTTATTATATTTCAATGCGAGTGATTGCAGCATGTGAAAACAATGTTTTCAGACGTTGCAAGTATTTTCACTGCTAATCAAACCATTGTTCCGTGGAATTTTTCATTATTATACTTGTTAACGTATTGTTCGTCTGATTTTTTATGCTTGGGAGAAGACTAAGTCTCATGTGAACATCCAAGCAGAACAGATCTGGTTGATTTTTCCCCCTAAGGTCAATAAAATGGAAACTTTCATCTTGGAAATTAATATGAAATGAGGCAGTGTTACTGGAGTATAGATGTAAATTCTTCTGGCAGATAAATCTGTAAAACGTAATCAAAAAAAAAAACAAGGCAAAACTGAATGACGTCGAGAAAGACCTTCAACTCACCCAGAACAACGAGGTTGACGATGTGAGAATCCTTTCCATTGCGGTTCTCGGCAACGATGGTGTATTTCCCTGAATCTTGACGTTTGCCCTTGGAGACCGTGAACTTGGTGTGATAGTCGGTGTTTTCAATCTTGAGGCATTCGGTGTTGCTGAGAGCGATTCCGTCCCGCCAGAACCAAGTGACATCTGGCGGAGGCTCACCGCGAATATCGGCTTCCCAAGTATGATTCCGGCCGACTTTAATTGTGGCATCGTGCAGAGTGTCTTTGTCGATATATGGCTTCACTGCGTTGCCAAAAAAAAAATCGAATGAAAGAAATGTTTAGTTGACTTCTATAATGGTGAGCAATTATTGAGCTTCACGTAAATTAAAGGATACATTTTACAAAAAAAAAGGCGAACCACTTCTCTTGGAAACCATCCTGAAGTTTAACAATTTTGATTCCCGCCCTCTTGGAAAACCACAATATTTCTGGGATTTATGAACATTTAATTTTTATCAAAGCAGAGTGAAACAGGGAAAGAAAATGAAATATTCCAACAAAAATTCGATACTAATCTTTGTGGTGCTGTGACGATGTCACGATTTTTAATTTTGCTTATTCCTGCCCCGCGATAATTGAAACAGCTTCAATGATTCTTGACATTCTGTTGACAGAATATGTTCTGCATTTTTCCTGCCTTTTTTTAATTCTGTTGGATTATCATCATTCCGAATGACATTCAAGTAGGTCATAGATCGGAATACGGAATACGTTTTCAATATTCAGAATCGCGTGAATCACTTTGTTAACCGAGTGTTTTCATTATTTATTTGAAGTTCTGTTAGAAATTCAAATATGATAAAATTAGGTCGATTCGCTTTCTCTTCATTTGATTAACTAATCACATAAGGATCAAAATGTTCTATTGGTATCCAATTATCTTTTATAGGTTATTATCTGGGCGAAGTCGAATTGTTCGGCAATTGGCCATTAATTAAGCCTAATAAACAGAGTTCCAGTCGCGGATTCACCCTCATAAAAAGCTCCTAGCGCGTTTTTTGAGGCAGCATTTTTTTCAAGGATCTTCCTACAATTTTTCTCTAGAAAATGTGCTGAAAAGAAAAAAAGGAAACTGACGGTTTCTGTGTTTGCACAAGTGATTGGCGGTTGGCAGACTAGGTTCGCCAATGCCGGCCTTGTTGGCTGCGCGGACTCGGAATTGATAAACCATGTTTTCTTTGAGCCCATTGACCTGGACCTCGGTTTTCGGGCCCTCAGTTTTTGCCATTTCTTGCCAAGTTCCGGATAATTTGTCCTTGACTTCAATTACGTAATGCTCGATTGGACGACCCCCGTCTTCTGATGGGGGTTTCCACGTTAGTTTCACACTCTTGTTGTCGTAGTCGACGATTTCTGGGGTGGAAGGTGCTCCGGGTTCATCTGCAACAACAACATTGAAGGGACTGCAAAATCAGAAAATCGATTTCAGAGTTATTCATGCGGGACGAGAAACCCTCACTGAAATTATTTCAAATTAGTTGATAATTTGGGTTAATTATTTCTAAGAACCAGCCTGAAAAACCTCGTTGCCGACTGAGTTGATGCATTTTTTCGCAAATATTTATGAGAATTATTCTAATTATTACCCACAAACATAACTGGACGGGAAAAAAAGGCTGAACCTCGGAATGATTTTTCCAGGCTTATTCCGGAGAAAAGGAAAACTAAATTTTCTTCGCAAATTTATCAGGTTTATTCGCGACAAAACGGGTGATTACGGCACTTGATGTATCTCAACTCAATATTTTAGGGACTAATCGAAAGCCTCGCGATTTTTGCTCACAAATCATCATTGTCGAAGAAAACCGTTTGTTTACACAATTTTTCATCTAACTTCAACAAACGGCTCCTTTGAAATCTTGCGAGTTACCCGCAATAAACCATTAACAGGGGTGAACAAGAAATGATGAATTAATATGAGGGGATTATTCCTGGTAAAAAAAAAAAATTCATCCTTTTTTCAACGGCTGAATTACATTCTCTTCATTTGGGGAAATATGTTTCTTCTTACCGTAAGGATTCTTGGCTACGATGGAGTCTTCGGTCTCAAGTGGCTCAGATTCGCCTTCTTTGTTCACAGCCTTGACGCGGATTTTGTACTTTTTCTTTGGTGTCAATCCAGTGACACTGAAAGTCAGCTGATTTGGTTGCACCTATAAATCAAATGCGAATATTATGATGTATCCTGTCTCATACATTACAGTGTTTCAAAGTAAGCAAGCGACGTTTCAGTCAACCTTGGTGAGCCAGAAGCCCAGAAATAATCGTCCGAGTAAAATGGTCCAAGTTCTTCATGACGACGTGAACAGCCATTAAAGTTCTCCGCCGAATTGTCAAATGATATTCCGAAGTTGTTCGCCGAAGTATTTGATTTTTTTTTTCAATTTTAAAACGACATGTTTATCAAGCTTAATCTAAAATACGCACTTCTCCAGCCGAAACCCAGCGTCCAATTTCCATGTCCATCTTTTCAATGATGTATCCCTTGAGTTCTTCGCCTCCGTTGTCCTTTGGTTTCTTCCACTTGATGTTGATGTGATCATTTCTGACTTCTTCGGCCACCAGAGGTCCCTCGGGTGGCGAAGGTTTGTCTATAATATTTTTTAAATATTTTATTTTGCATGTTGCGAATAATCAAGAAGTTCAGCTCACCAAGAACTACGACATCCGCACTTTGCGACACTTCGCCAGAGGAGTTCTTCAGCGTTAGCATGTATTTGCCGCTGTCCATTCGAACAGCCTTCCGCACATGAATAATCGTGTTCTTCTCGTACAACTCGATGTTCACTCTGACGAACGTTTCACGTCAAACAAGCAAAGTTTAAACATTAGCAAATTTTTTTGTTGTTGCTAGAATTCAAAGCAAAAAAAATGTCAAGCCAAACGTTTTAATTATGCACGAGAAACGAATGCGGGAAAAGATGAGTGGGGTTCAAGACACGTGCGAATATTTTTGTCACAATTATTTTTCGGCAAGCAAGACCAAACTATTTATGGCTTTCGGTAGTATTTGGATGCATTGTTTCAAAGCAGATACTGTGTTAGTCAAGCAAGACAGCGCACGAATTTGCGACGTGGAGAATCTTCTGAAGCCATAAAAACATGCGGATGTTCCTTCCGAAGTTTACAGCATTTTATTACTGGAACTTGATATTCATATTTTTAGGGTTTATCAAAATTCTTCGGAAATATTTTGTTGAACTTTGAAGACCTCCAAATCCTTGAGGCACGCGCAATTTTTATTTAATCTTGATAGGATAACAAAGTTTTGTGTTTTCACACTGACATGGTCTAACATCAAAATCTATTTCTTCCCTATTTTTTAAAGAAAATTGTGAGAGAAAATTGAAACAGTTTAGTGAGGATTTAATCAATCATCACTCAGTATAAATTACGCATTATCAGCAAACATTCAGCAATATTCGAACCAGGGATGACCAACAGATAACAAAAGTTAAAAACCCTGATGATTCTACAAGCAACTGAATAATGTAAACTTTTCGAGCCAAGAAGCTTCACCACGCCGCAATAATTTTGTTAGAATGATTTTTTTTTAATTCAAAGCTAAATCAGATAATAACCTGGTGTAGTCGATTCTTTTGCTGCGACTGAAGACCGACGATCACAGGAGCAAGAGGTATCAAATATAATGAAAACACACCGCATTAGTGATCAAATTCATACATTCCACTCAAGGAATGTGTCGCAAGTGGCCATTTCGGGAAAAAAATGGCAAACAAATTATTCCGTTGGATTAAAGTCGAAATAATTTATCCGAGCTTTCGAGGAAATGCGCTTCCTCGCAACAATCTGTTTATGATCCCTAGCATGCAAGTTGCAAAATTCCTGTTACGGAACTAAGTTGGAAATTTATTCTTGCGTAAAATGCGTCGATCATAAGAAAAAAAATTATAAAAAGACATTTTGTCATAATTATAGGATTTTTTGCTGTGATATTCATGCGACTTACTTATCGCCGGAGGAGCTGAGAGATTCGCCTTCTTTCGTCCAAATGACCTCAGGCTCTGGTTCTCCTCCGTATTTGATATCAAATGATACAACCTGTCCTCTTTTGATGACAACTGATTCCATCTTGGTTATGAACCATGGTTTAACTGTGGCACAACGACAAAAAACTTGTTTCAATTCATGCAAGCGATTGAAATACGTTAGGCTGAAGCATTTTCCAAGTGCAAAAATATTCGAAAAGCGGAAAAATTTTTCCCCTAAAAAAATTCCAGTATTTCCTTAATTTCTTGATGATTCGTAATTTCGACGAGAATTTTCAGTACTATACTTTACTTTGCCAGATGACTGGAATTTCTCAAGCTTATTTTCTGCCATAACGTATGGCTCAAACTACAGAATGGCTTTTTTTAAATCATCTATGTGCGTATGAATGGCGCAAAAATATTATAATTCTGAACATAGCGCAATATTTTTATCGAAGTAATACAAAATTGTCTGAAACGTTGGGAAACTTTTTTCAGCTGAGGCGTGTTTCTTCAATTGTGTGAAAAATAATTTAACTGACGAAAAATGAAATTATATCAACTTCAAACGGATTTAGGCCCGAATAGTCAGAAAATTGAAAATTTCAAAGGAAATGATATTTTCTGGGCGAACACTTGGATAATTTTAAAAGACGAACTAACGCAGACTGTGGGTTTGATGGATTTGACTGAAAATTGAATTACCAAATCTGTCTTTGGCAACGATGGGCTTGGATGCATCAGACGGTTCTCCTGGTCCAGCTTTGTTCACTGCCTTGACCCGGAATTCGTAGGTTTGTCCTTCCTTCAAGCCGAGAACCTTTGCTTTGGTTGCGTTGCCGTCGAGTACCATTGCTTCTTGCCATTCTTTATCGAATTTACCCTGCACAGAAACATGATCGATGTAGAATGGAGATTTTCAAATTTTAATTATATCCTGCTGAATATGAAGGAGTATGAAGTACAGAGAAATCTCGTTACAACAAACTTGTGGGGACTCCAGAAAAAGTTTGGTACTGTATAACGAATAATTTGTTATAACGAGAGTTTTGAAATTTTTGACTGAATGGAATATTTTCTAAAAAGGAAACCTGCAAAAATTTAACATATTTTTTTAACCTTTTCTTTTAGCATTTAAAAACTGTAATCTTCAAAAAGAAGTATAAATGTTGATCACAAACATTTATTCTGAATAACTGGTCAACACCAGCACTTTCTGTTGATTACGTTTTTCTAAGCAATTTATAAGGGGGGTTGTCCCAAAAAGCTTATAATTTCTAAACATCAGCACAGGGTTTCTCAAGCATACAAACCCATTTTGACATGAGTTTTTTTGGGTTCCTTTTTTCTTTTCCCCCACCATCTTTCCTATCCCATAACAAATTTTGAAAAAAAAAATTGTTCAGGGTGGATTTAGAATAATTGTTATCCTTGATTCCACCTTATGTCCCAAGAACCAGTCACAGCCCCAATTAAAATGGGAAAATTGAGACTTTGCCTGCATTCATTGGGGATTTTTCTTTTAAGAAATCACATGTTCCTTGAAACATCTGTAAGAAAAATGGAATTGGTGAGTTTTTTACAATGAGATTTTTATAACAAGTACCCTATAGGATTTCTGCCGGGACTTTAAAAAAAGTTTTTTGTACGAAAAATAATTGTTGTAACGGTATTTGTTGTGACAAGAATTTACTGAAAATAAAGCTTTACCTTGAATTCGATGATGTAGCCAGTGATGGGTGAACCGCCGTCATTTTCAGGCGCGTCCCATTTGAGATCTGCGCTTTCTTTGTTCCAGTCGGCAATGTCGAGTCCTGTCGGCTTCCCGGGTTCATCTACATGTCGATTAATAAATACATTTGAGAAACTGGGTCCATGGTTTTCTTTTCGAGTGTCAACATTTCGCGATAGATTAAAAGACCATTTCAGGGATGAATCATCAACAACCGTGCAACAACTTATAGGAATAAATCTCATTTTCGTATTGTTCGAGGTCAAACACTTTTTTTGATTTTCGCGATCCTGTTGGTTTCCTAGTTTTATTTGCGGGGCACGAAAAGGTGCTTTGACACCGGCAAGAAACTTTTCTTGGAGGCAATCTTTTTTTTTTTTTCAAATAGGAAAAAAACGCGCAAAAGTCGGTCCATTTGTTCCTTCAAAGAAATTTTTATGCAAGTAATTCATGTTTAAATGCTATTGTTTAAATTTGTATGTGTGCACAACAGCCAGAACGTGGAATGACTTCGTAAATTCGAAAATTTTGCGAACATCCTGCTCAGTTTCGGTAGATGTCACTGCTAGAAATGCCAGTGACACCTTGCTTTGCCGCAACGCTTTGCCATTACTGTATCGAATAGCGGTAGAATTTTTGTCGTTTGAATTCTGAGAATTGAACCGGGAATTGTAGACCAAAAAGAGGAAGAAAAAAAAAACGTGCGAATACGGTTTCGTGTGGGCCATAAATGTATAGGAATGAATAAATCACCCCAAGGATCTTTGGCAAGCACGACTTTCGGATGAGTGATGGGCTCGGATTCCCCGAGCTTGTTCACAGCCTTGATCCGAAATTTGTATTCCTTCTTATTTGCCAAATCTGTGCAAGTGAACTTGGTGGGTTCGCCAAAGGGCACCTCGTGAAGAGTGTGCCAGCCACCCTTGACACCCAGGTCCTGACGCTCCACCAGGTACCGAATGATGGGCGAACCCCCGTCTGATTTGGGTGCCTTCCAGGTAATCGTTGCTCGATCCTGGAAGATGTCCTGAATGTCCAGACTTTCCGGTGGTTCGGGAACGTCTATTGTTGTCAGGGAATAAAATATATTCCAGATATTATTTTCATTTTTTTTTTACCTGTTGTGATCAAAGTATATAGTCGCTGAAGGAGAGATTGTCTTTTTAAAGGTTTGAGTCCCCACAGTAGTTATAATATATGAATTCAAAGTCAGGACGAAAACCCTGACCTTGCATATTGATGAAGACTTCTTTGGAATTTTCGCCTTGGGAATTTTCCAGCTTGATGATGTACTTCCCGGAAAGTGCCCTCTGAGGTTTCTTGAATCGCATGTCAACTTTGTCATCTTTGACAACGATCTCAACGTCTTTCATGGATAGTGCTTTGCCATCAGGCGAGATCAGCTTTGCTTCCACTTGGGATTGCTTATGTCCGTAGACTGAAAAAAAGGAAAAATACGATGTCATTTGAAGTATAAAGAAAAATTGAATACCGTTCCCCAAGTTTTAACGAATGAAAATTAATAAATCGATCACAAAAAAGAGTCCCATTTTTCTTTGAAAGTGAATCATGTTCATAAAGCATATTACGACACACAGTCCATTTTGCTTGAACTTTTAAAATTTTAAAAATACAAAACAAGTTTTTGTCAACGATACTCAGAAGACTGTACAATATTACTTATCATTATAGAAAATATCGTTGTATGCGTGATAGACGGGATACAATTCTATACCCAACGGTGAAACATTTACGGAAAAATTATTCACGATATTATCCTGGAATCACAGTATATGCATGTTTTAAGACGGATTTGTTTAATTTAAATTTGAATTTTTTTTTCAATGGCTGCAAGAAATATTCGATGCATGGATGTGTATGAATGAAAGGAGTTACAGTAATTAGCTTCTTGGCGTTTCTACTTCCTCTGATTTTTTGAGTGTAAAAATTTGACCAAAGTATTTCAATTCCTAGAATGTGCGAGTGAAAACGAGCAATCCCGAGTTATTAAAAAAATAACCTAAAACCTATCTTCTGTTTGAGAAAATTCGGCATGCCGATCCAAAATCCCAACGCAATATGCCTATAATAATTCGGCGAGCTGAAAAATGCTACGCATCTGAATTGATACTAACTTGAGTATGGAATAGAGAAATTTAAAGGTTTCCCGATTGGTCCCTCGATTGGTCCTTCGAACAGAATTTCGGGAGCTTTTTCGCCTTTGTCAATTTGCACTTGGCACGCGGTTGAAACTCCACTCGTTTCGCATCTCCACTCGCCAGTGTCCTCCATGGATGCTCGTAGAATTTTCAATTGGTGTTTTCCTCCGCCCAAATTCTTGATTTCGATCCTTTAGAATATGTTATACAAACTTATTACATTATATTCACACACGAAGTCCTAAAAAAATAGTAAAACGTCTTTGAAGCCGCGATGTGAAAAAATTATGCACGATAAGAGCGCAATCCGTGTTCTTACGGTATGATACAATAAGTTTAGCCCTTGAATGACTTGTAATACTCTTATTTTTTCCAGGTACACTATTAAGTAATTTTAGTAGAACTGTCCTTTGAAGTACATGCACAAAAAGCGCGAAGTGAAATTTCTACCATTTTGCTTGCATTTGCCGGATACCTGTCAGAAAATTTATGGATCAGATTGGACATGAGTGATTTTTGAAGACACTTTAAAAGCGGCCAGAATCTGTATTTGTCAGATCATTTATCTTCATCCGTTCCTCAGAAGATATCTTTAAAATTATCATGATACACTTTTTAAAAAACGTGAAAACTTTGATTGCATTGACAAATTACACAAAAGGGGTAATAATCTACGAGAAAACGATTCAAGTAAGGTTTCATAATTAGTTTTCCTGAACTAAAATTGAAAGTGTTGTATGAGTGCAATTATTTTTAACATTATTGCAAATATTAAACGTCCCTCAGTTCGACATTCTCATTCATAATTCAAGGCCTGCCCATACCTACATAAATTGAAATTGGAAAAATATACTGTACATGTAAAGAGTTTGGAACGATCTAAAAATGTATATTTTAGCTCAATATATTTTTCATGAATGAGCATTCATGAATTTTACAAACCTGTCATTTTCTATAATTTTCTCTCCCTTGAAGTACCACTCAGGCATGGCGGTCGGATCTTGCATTTCAACTTCCAACTTTATTACGTCCCTCTCGTATCCACTTTGGTCTTGCAAACCTCGTTTGATCCTATTTGCATCTGTGGAAAAATTGAAATTACGCTTGAAGGAAAATAAAATAAAATACAGTTGTACTGTACTTTGATCCGTTTGTAAGCAATAGGTAGGAGACAAAAACGTACAGTATACTGTAATTATTATTTTACACAACAAAAAATTTCATTCATGCAAATATGAGACTTCGTCAATTTTGAGGGCTAATAAAAAAAAAACCATAATTGCTGCAGGCAGAAGAAATATGCCGTCTTTTGGGCATTTTTTCTGCCCGACTTACATTCAACAAGCATTTCGCAATCAGTGACGTCAGCGTTTGTCTTGCAATAATATTGACCAGCATCCACCATCTTGACTTCCTTGATGACCAGCTTTCGCTTGCGGCCTTCGGACACGAATTTCGTCCTGTACATTTGAGAGACATTTTATTATGGATTTTCACTTTCAAAAGAGTGTTATGGTATTTGACTGATGACCTTTTGTCTTCAATAATTTCGGTTTCACCCTTGAACCAGCGTACAACAGCCTCTGACGAGTCACACTCGCAGTCTAGTATGACTTTGTCTTTTTCAATAGCCTTTTTGTGGAGCAAAGGTCGTTCAAATTTGAACTGCCGTTCTGCAAAAAACGAAGCAGAAAAGTGTGCCCTTCAAAACCACGAACCAAATATTTAAAATTGGTGAACTTTTGAGAAACGTAAAAATAAGTTTCAAAACATCAACGAAACTAAATGGCTTTTGTAGAGTAAAAAAAAAAAAAACACCTGGTTTGAAAATAATAGAATATGCATGCACAGCGAACTTATTTGATAAATTGTTTGTGCAAATCTCATTAAAACAAATGTGCAGAAGCACTCGAGACTTATCTCCTATGACATAAAAACTTGCTTAAAAAATTCAGATTTTTCTGGAAGAAGAGTTTCAATATTAAATTCTGATTTGGAGGTATCAGAATATTGAAATCAAAATAGCGCCACTTTGAGCTGAATAAAAAAAAAAACAGATTCAGCTTAAACCCAAAAGCAGCAAAGGTTTTTGAGAAAAAACATTGTTTTTGTCAGATGTCATTAATGAAGTACTGTAATCTGATTTTATTTTCAGAAAATTTTTCATAATGCGAAGACCAGTGAATAATTGACTCAGAATTGTTCTCTCCAAATGCTGATACAGTATAGGAAACGTTGGTGGGAATTTTATTGACTCTGATAAAAACAACGAAAGAATCACGCAAAACCCTATTTATACTGTAACACGTTTTTAAAATGTGTTCCAAGTAGATTTTTATAATATTTTCTCCCAATTTTGATAGTGAAAAATATTAATAAATTTGTTGTAATGAGTTGGCTTGTGACACAAGTTCACCTGCATTGAAAATTCATGACTTGGAATATAAAGCAACAAAATTGATGAAACGTCAGAAAGATTCTTCCAAAGCATGAATTTCTTATTGTAATGAGGTCCAGTTTTATGGTTATTGAAGTAAATGAAGAACTTACCGACGATGGTGACCTTGCAAATTGTCTTCTCGTCTTCTTGGTATAGAATATGACACTCATATTCACCAGAGTCTTCCTCAACGGCATCCTTGATTATGAGTTTGCAATTTCCCAATACATCTTTGCTAATGTCATATTTCCCTCCATCTTCAATCCTCTCTCCATTTTTGAACCAATGCACAATTGCCTTTCCACTGCTCAATTGACATTCAAGCACTGCTTCTTTGCGTGTGAACCCATCAAACAAGGGTGGCAATGGAGTGTTGAAGTGATAGACTGGGTCGGGTTCTGTTATGGAATGGAATTGATACGATACCGTATTTAAAACTTCAGGTTTCACTAGAATAAAAAAGGTTTTCTGAATAGTATATCTAATGTCACGCCATTTATAATATTCAAGACAATGTTGAACTGGGACATCAAAAATGATCAAAATTTGGGAATGCCCATATTTACTCTAATAAAATGAAGTCCGATGATAATATGACAAGAAAAACTCAGTTATTTTAAACTTTCCATGCATATGAAATTAAAGTGAGCCTGCAAGCAATAAACTGAATAAAATACTGTGATATACTATTTAATGATGATCATACCAAGAAATATTTAATCCCTTAAAATTTCTGAAAGCTTTCTTTTTTTGAGCTCAAGGAAAATAATTTCATGGTTTTATGCGAAAATGGTTTAAAATATGAAGAGGATTGGTTAGACACTAATACGATAATAAATTTGTTGTATTCCTCAATTCCACATTTGTCAACATTAAAAAAAAAATATTTGGTTTCATGAAACAATTTCTTGGAATTTAACTCACCATCCAATTAGAACTTCAGGTTAAAGCAGAAGAAAAAAGGTTTTCTGAATAGTAAATTAAATTGAGCATGCAACCAATAAAGTGAGTAACATACAGTACTGTGATATACTATTTAATGATGATCATACCAAGAAATATTTAATCCCTTAAAATTTCTGAAAGCTTTCTTTTTTGAGCTCGAGGAAAATAATTTTATGGTTTTATGCGAAAATGGTTTAAAATATGAAGAAGATTGGTTACGCACTTGATAAGATAATCAATTTTTTGTATTCCTCAATTCCACATTTGCCAATATTGAAAAAAAATATATTTGGTTTCATGAAATAATTTGTTGGAATTTAACTCACCATCCACTTGCAAATGACCATTTGAAACAATACCCATGCATTCAACGCGGTACTTCCCGGAATCCAACACTTGGGGATTCACAATGACCAGCCTGTGCACAGCTCCTTCCACAGTGATTTTTACCCTTCTAGAATCGTGGATTTCCTTTCAAAGCAGAGATAAAAAAAATTAGTCAAGATCCTCAAATTCTTGGCTAGTAAAAAAAATATAGCTTACATCGTTTCTGAAAAACCATTTTGCAATGGAATTCTCTTTGGAGAAAATGCCTTCAAAAACGACCTTTTTCTCTTTGCCTTCTTTGCACATGACGTCAACCAATGGCTTCATCCATGACTCTTGTTTCTATAGAACATGAGGGCACATGTTTTGTCAACCATCGAATAACAATGATCATTTTTGGAAGGGTTAGTGAGAAATTTAAGCATGCAGGTGTTAACTACTGAAGCCCAAGTGTATTCGTCTGGATCATATCCACACTTGCTGCACCATTGCAAAGTAAAACAAAGAAACAAAAAAGTTGGGACATGCTGCCGAGTTTGTTACCTGCCGTTGGCAACTCTTAAAGAAAAATAATTTTTATTTACGTTCGTTCCAGGGTTTTAAAAAAATCCGCCCATCGCAGATTTTCCAACAGCTGCTCGTATTTAACGCCATCCTTTTTTTCAAAAAGAAAAGCATAGATTCATGGTTTTTTTATTATTTTTTTCAATTGAGTCATTGGGGCCCCATTTTTGGGGCTGGCCTGATGAAAGAGGGCGTACCCGGGTGTTGACTGGCGACAGCGTGGGCCAATCAGGAATGAGCTCGGCCAAGGAAAGCTTCCGCTTTACGGGGGGCGGTAGGCTATAGTGCTGGCGGAAGTGTGAAATGCTCCAGATGAACATATTATTAGCCACGTCTTTTTATTTTTTACAACAGCAACCAAAAATATTTTTTGATGAAATAAATTATGAAAAACAATGCACTCAATTGTGATGAAAGCAAACCGAGAGCAGAGTAAGTTTATTCATTCGGAATGAATGTTGATATTGGAGGTTTTCAAAATGTTTTTCACGCTTGCTGAACCCAATTATGAAGCCAATTTCTGTGATGGAGCCTTGACAGGCAAGAATCTTATTTTTAATCTGCTCTGCACCTTTCCTTGCAGACTTGCGATAAAAGCCCCTTGCTGAAAATACTGGCACCAGTTTTTAAACCTGTTGAATCTCCCTTCATACCGTTAACATCGACTAATTATAATTTTGCTTGGTATTCCTCTTTTTAAGTTTGATTTCTTTCAATGGCTCTGTGGGTCACTGGTTGGAAATTTTTTCTAATAATTATGGAGATCATCTCGATTTCTGATATCTTCTCAGGAAAAATAAATTTTGCTGTTGAATCTCAGAACTACCCTCACACCATATGTATATATATATATTTTTTAATTTACCAGCAATATTTTTTTCTATAGGGTAGACCAAGAAATTTGAAAATATCTGAAATGCAATGTATCTTCAAAATAATTGTGTTTTCAACATCTAATATTGCAAGCACGAACTCAGTACTTTTGGAACATAGAAGATCCACAAAGCAACAGGTTATACGGTAGTTTGTAGTGATAATTTATTTCTGTTGCAATTTGATCAAGGATCGAGAGAAAAGAAACTGAAACAAGTCAACACTTGAAATTTCTGTGCTTCTTTTTTACCGGACTAAAAAAATAGAATTTCTAGCATCAGCAAAAATGTGCTGGTTTGAGACGAATAGTGAATTTCGAACTCGAATTGTCCTGAAAGTTTGCTGACCTTAAAAAATCGTATTGTGAACTTGACGGATTTCTGTTTTTTTTTTTTTACTCGCGTTAGAGTCAAGAGGAAGTAGTGAGTTTACGTGACTTAAATTGTTTGTGTGTGAGGTATTCTTTTAACCCCCCTTTCACAACTACATGAGACCTTTTAATTACTAACGATTTTAAAACATTTTTTGAAAAAAAAGGATGAATCCATTACAGGGTGTCTGCTCAAAATTATCTCACCCTTTCCACTTTCTTGAGCATGGGTTTAACTTCTGGCTCCACCTTCTTCAAGTCGTAGTTTGGATCTTCCTTGTCATCCTTCCACTTGGCGTATTTCTTGCGCTTCAGCATGGCTCTGAAGTCCATCTCACCACCTAAAAAGTCATCAACATTTTGCATTCAGATATGCTTCAAATAGCTAATCTTGCTGCAAGTAGTTAACTACGTAAAAAATTGACTTATCCTTCTGATTTTGAGAGGTCTTGAGAAATGTGACTGTCAGCATATTGTTTTGAGTGTAGAAATGGATTGCTGATATTCTTTACATTTTTGCATTGCTTTTCCACATTGTTTGAAAGCTTGGATGTTATTTTCGGATACTATATGTTGAACATCCGCAAAATTTTCAAAGAAACATTCATCAAGGTAATTTCCGAGGCATGTGAGATATTTCGTACACCTTCACATTATTTAAAAAAAACGATTCATGTTTTCAAAAGCTATTTTAAAGAAATTGCATGTAATGTTTTTTGAGAGAAATTTTCTCCAACAGCTTTTTTTATCTTAACCCGTCTTATGAAAACTATATAACCTTGGATAGACAAACAAAAAAGCCAATTTGACTTCCAGTGACATCTACCCGCGCTTTAAAATTCGGCATAGTGATGGACAAAGCGGAGAAGTGAATCTCGTGAATTAAGAAGATCCTACTAATGTACACAAAAACATTTTTGGACACCCCATTGATCATTTATGCAGGTGATCAACTTTTGGATTTCCTTGACTTTCTCACCTGATACAAGGAGGGAAACTTCCACCTCATCCTGCCCATGAGGATTGATGACCTGGATCTTGTATGTGTCTTCATCAGCTGGCCTAGTTTTCTTGATTGCGAGTGTGATGGTGTTGCTTTCGCCATCCGTGAGATAAACATAACGACCTCCTTCGTGAATTTCAGTGATCCCAGCCTACGTCACGACGAAATTGGATGTAAATCGTTGAAGAGAATATCGAAAACATTTCTAAGACATCTGCTGTCTGAATTACTCCTCGGGAACTTGGGAAATTATGAACTCTCCTCGTTTTTTCTCCCCAAAATTTCGACCGGAAATCGATAAGAAAATGACGTACCTGGAAAAGAACCCCGCCTTTCTTTTTTGCATTTCAAATTTCATGCTCTTGGACAAGCGATATGTGTGATAAAAACCTTCCCTCTGTACTTCTGCAGTTTACACAACTTGGAGATTAATGAACAAAAAACTAACGGTATTCTCTGGAAAATATGGAAAGTTTTTCTTTGCATAAAATGTCGTCAAAATGTAAAGAATCAAGTACGGGGTATGTTAGAGAAGATACTTTTCCGTCTGAGTCCTTTCTAAAACCGTGGACGAAAATAAACTTACCTGAAATCATATTGTGCGTATAAACAAACAAGAATTTTTTTTACAGGCGGCGGTGAAAAATAATATTTCCATAATTGAAATTTCGGCGACGTTTTCCGACATGAGAACAGCTACTACAGATTTTTTTTCTGAACGGGGGTCAAGTGTGAACAACAAAAACGTAAGTTAACCTAAAAAGGCAGAAAAAATAGAATTCGAATGCTTATCTTGAAACTGCCGCATATCGTACGGTTTTTATTCCAGTAATTAGATCTATAAAAATGAATACCCAAAGAGGTAAAAAATTAATTTTGTGGGGTTTTTTTTCAAGTCGTGAAATTAAAACGATGCCCACCATACTGTATATCTAGAGAATTATTTTGGATGCTAATTTAATGGGTGATTTAATGAGCTGGTTTACCTTGTGAACTCTCCATGTTGGCGCCGGATTTCCTTCCACGGTGATCGTGATGAATCCATTCTCACCTGAAAAATGTATCAACAATATAATTAAGAAATGAGGTCTTGTAATCAGTGGTTTATTTTTTGATTTAGCTGTTTCAATCTTGTGGCACATAACAGACCTTTGAGTTGACTTTTTAGAAAACGGCAACGCATAACCTAGCTTCTACACTATTTTTATTTTGCAGTTCAGCCTCGATAAGTCGATAACTCAAACCACCCTGTGTAAAAAAAAATAATTTCTAGCCCCTGACTGAGTTCCCTTGGAAACAGTGCCTTGAAGACGTCCGTAACTCGAAGTTCCTTGAAACCTCCATAACTCGAATTTTTGGGGGCCTTTGGTAATTATTTCATTGACACAGGAAAGAGACATTCAATAAAACTCGTAATGATGTTTTCTAAAGAATGTGAAAGCATCAGTTACCTGGGCAAATAAATCCTCACCTCCAAGTTCGGCATTCTGTCAAAAACTTGAAATTTTTTTCATTTTTCCAAGGCCCCGAATTTCCTTCAGTTCTTCTTTCTCTCCTACCCCCGAAATTGCTTCTCCTAACTCGATATTTTTGCTGGTCTCACGAAGTTCCTCTTTATTCAAGATTTTGGACTAAATAGAAAATTGACACAATCGAATATCTAACGTACTTGAACGCCGAATATAATTGATGACATCGCAAAAACTAATTCAGTATTAACCCTTATCAAACCCGAAGACGGATCCGATTCAAAACTGAAGCTAGCAGTAGATGATATATATTAAAAAAGAAAGCAGGAATACTTTCTCGTGATTCAAGACCTCATTTTATTCCTTCCTCCATACCCGACACAACTGCTCGTAGCATTGCAAACATTTTTTGTTGCTTCTATGAAGAACGAGAAGTATTTCGGGTTTCCTTTTATAGATGTCGCACATTCAAAGGCATTGTACCCCCATGTAGGGAACAAGCGCCTTTAGAATCGCTTCCGAAAATTGAGTTGATCACCGTTTTACTGCTGAATGTGATTATTTATACTGGACTGTAATTTGAGAAACTCACCTTCGGTTGCTGTGTACTTTTCTTGAAAGTCGACAATGACCGGAGGACCCGTAGAACCGACTTCTTTCAAAGGAGTCGACGGTTTATTCAACCGGTCTTCCAACTCGCTGATGCTCGGTCTGCGAACGTACTTCAAAGCGTGAAGCAGTTAAACCCGTTAAAAATGGCACATGTGCGAAGCAATCTGTCACTGCACGTGATTCTTTTTAGTCATGTGATGACGCTGCAACCGTGAATGAACATGCACAATATATATACTGTATATATATATTTTTTTGTCTAACTCTAGCACAGCAAAAACATGCAGGTTAGGGGTTTTTCAAAAGCGAGCAAATTAGGTTCACGAATAGAGTCATGTATGGGTTCTCTTTCCTGCCTAATCTTCACACCAGAGAAAAATAGCTGCGAAGAAAGGTACAAAACATTTTTGGAGGATATACAGGGTTGTTTTTATGTTGCGACACGGTAGGCGAGATAGATGAACACTTTTTTTTGTTTTCAAGTCCGGAAATGTTTGAGTTTCACGAAATATTGACACGAGAAAAAATTGAAAATCAATGAATGTGAACACCGAGGAGAAATGGGATTCGCATTTAACTGACACGAGCCACATTCAAAATCAAAGTGCTTCAAAAATTAAATAATATAATTAACGGAACGATTCAAGGCAGAAATTCGGCAAAAGATTTGCAATTACAGCACAATATTTCTCACAGTCCTTCGTTGTATCGCGAAATTTCCACCAGGAGAAATATTTTGCTATCTATTTAGATGAACTGATTACTTTTTTTGTGCGTGACACATTTTTAAATTCAAGTTTCAAAAGCCTGAACTGCAGTCTGAAGATTTATTTCCTCGTCAAATTTTCCATAAAATTTTAAAGAAATCGTATTTTAAATAAAAAAAAAACGCTTTTGCGCATGTAGAAGCTGGAACGAAAAATCTTCATTCGGAATTTAAGATAAATCATTGCCGAAGTTTTTGAAAAAGTAGTAGGCGTGTTCTTTCCAGAAATAAGCAATTGAAACAACTGTAAACCAATTGGTGAGGAAATGATAAAAGATGGTGTTCAATCCTTTGGAGATATTTTCACGCAGACTTCATCTAGATTTCTCTCAATGCCAACTTCCTTGAAAATTGAAACTTAAATTTTCCCGGACAAATACGGCACAGGTGTCCATTTATCTTCCCCTTCCTGCTGTAGGTGTCGCTCATGTGTAGAAAATCTAATTAGGCTATGTATTCAGCAGTCTAACGTATACCAACGTCCTTGCACCAAAACTTCCTAAAATGTTTCTAAAGATACTCTCTGAAAAAAAAATTGAAAAGGGTGTGTAAAAATTTCAAAAAGAGTAAAAAAAATAGATTGGTGGATAAAATTCACGAAAAAAGATTTTACGAAGGTGAAAAACTCATCTACCCTCGGCTTCTCTCTTTGGCAAGCTGAATATCATTCGCATAAAAATAGTTCACCTTTCCTGCTTCGTCCAGTTCGCCAGGACGAGAACCTCGTCTCTATCCGTCGTCAATTTTTCAACCCGGAACAATATTTTTTGTTTGTTTTTGATTTTTACCCCCAGCATCATCGTCGTCACCAAACGAGGTCAATGATTTTTTTTGGCATTCGGTACATTTTTTTTTTCATGCAGCCAAAATGATCCAGCATTCGCAGCAAGGAGGAACAGAAAAGTGGGAAGATACCGCATTAGTCACGTTTGCTATTGTGCAGTGGTTAACCACAATGAACGCGATGCGACAACACATACACATTTTTTTTCATTTGGTTAGACACATATTTTGGACATATATATTTTTCCCTTCTAAGCAAATTAAAGGCTGGCAAACCCTTCCAGGTCTGCGCAAATTTATCCTTCACAGCTAGATTTTGCCTATCATGCTTCTAATATTGTCGAAAAACTGTACCTATAGAGTTAAAAACACATATTTTCCGGGTCCACCGACATGAACCTGACTCAGAAATTTTGGGTCAGTCCTCTATTTTCGAAAAAGTCCTCTTTTCTTCCGTTTGAAATTTTAATAAACTTCCAGCGGGAATATTCAAGAGCTGAATCACATTGCTAGGTTTTAATTTGAATCCCATGGGGTAATTTCATTAGTTTTTTCACCTGCTTCTAAGTCGGATCATGCTTCTTTTGAGAACACTGGAAAGGCTGATCAAAAACTCGTCAATTTGTTACAATTAGTGCATCCCACTTTTTTCTGTACAAGGTTAGACTAGAGTAAAGTTCTTTTAAAATTGAAAAGTTGAAATTTATTTTGGGTGGAACTTTGTTACAAAAAAGCCATTTGGACTAGCAAAAGCCACGCTTATTATCGAGACGCGTAAAATAGTATCTAGTGGCCAGTCTTCACTCTGAATAAGTGACATTGAGGAATAATTTTTTTGTAATAAGATTCTGCCTTATTTGACTCTTCTACTAACGAAAAAATTTCAAGAGTTTTTGATCAATCCATCACAGCAAGAAAATATTTTGTTTTGCTTTGTCCCGATGAGTGCCAAAATGTTACCACATGACCAGAGGGAGGCGCCCTCTGGCGGGGAATCACAAAAGTGATATTATCCGCGTTGTCAGCGGAGATCCACAGGACACATAAACAGGACACTCATGGCTGCTACACCGGCACTGGCTGCTATCAAAGACCAGCGCCTGACCCTTTTATATCTCTCTCACCTGTGTCTCAAGCTCACCGGGCCGAAGTTTCCCGACCTATAAATGTCCATCATGAGTCCCCGGAAAAATGCAAACAAGCCTATCAACACGAGTCCAATTCTTTGGGCCAGAGACGAAACAAATACGAACGAAACAAAGGCTTCGGATGGGGTGGGAAACGGGGTGTGGGGGGGGGGTTTCTTTTTGTTTTGTGGATGAGTTTTCCCTTTCTGCTCACACTGCCCTCGCAAGGAACACGCTCTTCTTCTTTCAAATAATATTCGGAAATGTGTACGAATGCTGGAGGAATGTCTTGAAAAGTTGCGTCAGTATAGTCTCAGTACCTTTAAAAGAGCTTTTTTCGGGGTTCCCGAATTTATTTCAGAATCTACCAAAGCACTGCAGGAACAAAAACACGACTTGAAATAAGCCCGAAATCATTGCTCACCAATCTTTTTTTTTTTGCTTAAATTCCACGTGAAAAAATACTTTGATTATGAACAAAAAGATCCACAATCCAGGCATATTTTTTTAATTGAAGCACGGTGGTCGAATTTTTCAAATTTTTTATAAAGACGCGATTTGATACATATTTAGTGATTTTCTGACCACCTGAAAATTCATGAAGCATGTCAATGAAACGAGTAAAGACTTGAAATTTTCACGATTTTCGATGAATTTTCAGATTTCTGACATTATTCAACCTTATTGAGAGCAAACATTGGGAAGAAATTAGGTATAAAATATAAGAACTAAATCCAGCTAATCCATTTAGAGGGACTCGTCCAAAAACGATTGAAACAAGGCTGACAAAACTTTGAAACTATTCTCTTGCGTGAAATATTTTTATTCCCCTAAAACTGCTCGATTCAGGACCCATGAGCCATTTTTCAGGCATAAGACTCTAATAATGACTTCACATGCCTCCAGCGAATTTTACAAGAAATAAAATCTCTATGCTGAATCATCGAATGATCCAGGAATTTTTCAATAATATTTCCTTAAATATCAACTGGCTTTCGGGAACTGTATAAATTGGAATAATATTTTCGGCGATGTTCCATGTGAGGTATTCAGCGAGCGAAAAGTGAACAGTGGCATTTTCTTCAAATGTACATGTTTTCGGTGTTAATGTTGTGCAGCGAGATATGAAACGATGTAAATGAAAGCATATTGTTAATAAAAATGCAGTTTTGGTGCTCGCAGCAAAAAACCCGTGTGTGTTTCATCATCATCATCATCATCAACAAGTGCAAACCCTTTCCTTTTTACAAAATCGTTCGTCGCTTTCCAGCAAGACCACAAAAGTAAAAAAAAGGTGACGAATACAGGCTCATAAAAAGCTGGCTCTCGGTGCTGCCCTCTTACCTGCGTCTGTGGCAACTCGCCGGGCCTCAATTTATTCTGAAATCAAACATGCCAAGGGTTCAAAAACTGTAATACGAAAAAAAATCACGTCTTCTTCAACACCTAAATGTGTCTCTAGAAAAATAAAACACGGAGACCGTGTTTGAAAACGTCGAAGTCCAACGCTTGAATTTCTACTGGGGGAAGCAGGGCTCATTAATACACGTCAGTCCTTCGCAAACTTTCGCAAAAATGGATTTTCTTGTGAAAATTCGGTAATTTTTGGTAGCTCGGGAATGCGTATTTTTGATGTTGAAAATTTCCAAGATGAGAATCTTAGCGGAAGTCGCCTGCATTTGAGTGAATCTTGTGACTGAAAATACTGTTCAGGAATCGGTCAGATATTTTTGAATTATTGCAGGATTGAAAATTTAAAATTTTCTGGAACAGCTGAAAAATCGTACGGTATTGAAAAATATACCGTGCAGTGGACAAGTCGCGTGGAAAATTTTTTCAAGTGAACTTTTAGCAAAAGTTGAGAGCTTTAAAATTTAAAAGTTGTGTGCTAAACTTTTTTCACCAATGTCACAAGTCCCCGACCAAATCTCGCAAAACTAGTTTTATTTTTCGATATTAAAATATATTTACTGTATTTGATCGAATGTTTTTGAGGTAATGAAAGGGTGAACACGCTGTGGGTGGCTCAAGCATCATAAAAAGTATACAGGGACTAACCATACTGGGGTTAATTTCGAAGATTGAGGTTTTTTTTAGCGGTTTATGAAAGAATAAATAAAATAAAAAGAATGAAGCTCGAAGCCAGCAGCAAATGATTCCACGCGTTTTTCAACGGGCTTTGGCGAAGCGAAGCGTTTTTCCGCGCAAAAAATAATTAAGTAGATGTGGTAGCATTTTTTTGATTATGCGTAATTACTTTTCCGGACTTGGTGAATGCGTTTGAAGCGTTTACTTGACAAGTCCGGAACTATCGTCTGCAAGTACTCACTTGCCTGACAACCAGGGTTTCTCCTGACACCCGTTTCCTGGTCTTTCCTGTGGTCGCGTCGATCGTCATGCCTTTCTATTCACAGCGGACGGCTAATTTTCAGTCACATTCTAGCCCCAAATTCCCACGTATATATTTCAGCGTTTATTTTTATTCCACACAGTGGAAAGAAAATTGTCGCTCCTTTTTTAATTTTGCAGTACCAGACAGTACTTCTTTGCTTGTTCAAGAAGTACTGTATTCATCAGCGAGGGAACCGCAACGAAACTTTGAGCTAGATTAGGGGAAGCCGCCAAAATTTGATGTGTAGTATGAGAATAGAGGCATCAATAAGGCGAATTACGTCTAGCTTGCTCTAAAACCAAAAGCTGTGATCAATAAAGCAATTATTACTAGCAATTATTCTTTGAGAAAGTTGGCCTGTTACCGCTTTGGAATTTTAGATAAATCGACAAACAAAAGCAAGTTATGTGTATGTTGCGCGCGAGGAAGAATCGCCAAAGACAAAGGATATATTTTGCTATTCTGTATCAAATCATACTCGGGAATGACTTGAATTCATTGCAATGTTGAGAAAATTTAAGAAGGTTCCATGCTCCTTTCTGATGAAAATTCTAATTTTTCTCCTTAGTGAAGGATTGATTTTTCTCGAAATTACATGAGATTTCAAACATTTATGAGCATATTGTTTTGTATCTTTGCTCATAGTACAGGTATATTGAGTGAGAAACCATCATTTTCTAGGAACTGCAAGAAAATTTGAACAGAAACACAATTTTGCATAACAAAATATGCACATGTTTTTTCATAGGTCGGCAATACCTGATAATCTACTGTCAACTGAAGCAATTGAGGAATTTTGGATGCCAACAGTATCAGAAAACAAACTTACCTCTTCTGTAGCCTTGATAATACAGGGGTTTAAGACATTCCTTGATAAATTATCTGTATTGCACCGAGAATTAGGTACAATATCATCAGCAGAAGATTTTTTCAGCATCTCAAGTGCAACATCAATGAAGGCAGAGAAAAGATCCTAATTACTCAATTATGTCATGATAATTGTGATGTTGTTGATTCAAGTAAATTACTAGCTGATCTTGCTTGTGGCAAAACTAAACCATTACTATTTGTATCATCTAATATCCCCTTGGTACATGATACCATAGCTCTTTTGACAAACTCATGGCATTTTCATGAAAAAAATTATCAAATTTTCAAAGGCGTCCAAGTGGCATAATTTCTGCAGTATAAATACATAGGTTGATGCATCACCAGAGCACCGCCTTTTCTTATGCCCAGCATTCCACAGCAACAGAAATGAGCTTCAAAAAGATTTGGGACTCTTGAAATTCAATGAAAAGACTCTTTCTAAAATCTTAGAGGTTTAAGATAATCTGTTAACCTTATATGATTTCTCATCAAAGATTCTCTCCAAATTGTTTAATCAACTAAACCTGGTCTGAAAGCAAGTTTAGTTATTAAACCCTTTTACTTTAATTTGGGCTTAGTAATTGCTTTATGATACAATTCTTAATATGGATATTTTGTTTTTGTGAACAGGGAAGGGGAAAAGTGTACATATTTACATCGCTTGTGCGGTTGAACTTCTTGGGATGTATTCTATTTTATTTTAATATCCATGCACAGCTGGTTTCTCTATTTTTCATTCTGATCTGCAAAATGTGTTCGGGGGTTGGGTTGTGGGAACATTGTTTGAACCTTCTGAACGCTGAAAGGCAGAAAATAGAGCTTGCTGTTCAATTGACTTCAATACTGTATCATGAAATCTTTTTCAACACTTCTATATGTGAGCTGACGTGGAAAGTTAAGAATATTCAATTGAATTACGAGATGCAAAATCGCTTCCGAGTGTGTTGATTTTCCACGCTGGCTCGAAAGTGTCATTTTCTTTGACAATTCAAGCATTAAAAAGCCTTCAAAAGCTCCACACGTGAACCAACGAAATACAACTCATTTCAAACTCGGACTTTGTCCCAGCTGATTCACTTAGCCCATATTTATACATTCGACTCTTCATTCTCGCGAAAAGAACTTTAATTCTTACCCTCAAATTCAATCGATTTTTCTCCTAAATTTTTCATCCATTCCATATCACATTTTTAGCTTTGTGAGTTTGTCTGTTTGACATATCTTTTTCTCACAACAATTCTTAATATGGATATTTTGTTTTTCTGAACAGGGAAGGGGAAAAGTTTACATATTTACATCACTTGTGCGGTTGAACTTCTTGGGATGTATTCTCTTTTTTTTTATATTCATGCACAGCTTGTTTCTCTATTTTCCATTCTGATATGCAAAATGTGTTGGTTGCATTTGGGTGGGGAGGGGGTTGGGTTGTGGGAATATTGTTCGAACCTTCTGAACGCTGAAAAGCAGAAAATATAGCTTTCTTTCCAATTCAATTCAATACTGTATCATTAAATCTTTGTCGATTCTTCTATATGTCAGCTGACGTGGAAAGTTGTCTTATAAGTTAACTTAATGCTCTACGTTTTAGCGAAGGCTCACACAACTAAAAGGTGCGACCGAGCTTTCACAGTAAAAGAAACTGTTAAGTTCGTAATTTTTCGGAAGTTTTCGAGGTGTGCACTGTCGCATACCTAAAGATAAAAATTGTGTCGTCAGTGTTGCCAAATAATCCATCGCGTAATCGTCCCAGTCCAAGAAGCCTCGCATTCTCTTCGTTGCAAAGCCCGCAGAAAAGAAAAATGAACGGACCAACTCAAGCAAACTCGCGTGATGTCGCTGGCTTCGAACCAATACGCGGTATTTTTAAACGTTCCTTATGTCGGGCATGCGAGGTTTAAAACTAAAAAAAAAAAGATGAAAGAACATCAAAAAGCAAGTAGGGAAAAAAGAAGAATGATGGCAGAAATAAACTAAGAGGACTAGAGACGCGTAGTTGCATTCGGACGCGACGAGAAACCGTTTCTAGACTACCCGGAAATGAAAGCCTGCAGAAAATCGGCCGAGACTGTCGTTCATCACCGGGCGCTGCCATTTATTGTCCAGGAGACAAAACCGAGTTCCTTGCCAAGGAATCCAGAATTCTTTTATCTTTCCCCTAGGTTTTCGGGTTGAATTGCTTACGATACTTCGTCACTCTTGGTGAATTTAATTCACATCCAGCTTTCCCTCATTAACTAACACCATCGCCGACGCGGTGATGGAATGTTTTGTTTTTTCTTTCTGAGGTACAAAAATATTCGTTCGCCATTCCGGAGATTCTACTTGAGCCTCAGGGTTTATTCACATCGAGTTAATTTTTTTTTTTTGGGATTGTCATCTCACGGATTAATAGCATTTTCCGTAAATAGTTAGAGGTAAATTTAGCTGAAATTTGACTGGATCAAACGGCCGACAAAATTGTTGGAACATTTCGCATGGAAGTCTGTAAAAATCTTGCCACTTTCGAGATTTCTTCGAGGTTGAAAAAGTTCTGGAAATGAGCCTCACGAACGATCAAATTTTGGATATTATGCAGAATTTTTTCTTCATCTGCAAAAATATAATGATATTTTCGTAGCCGTCAGATGACCTTTGAATTTAATTGTGCGAAAAATTTTCTAATATATCAATGAAGTTCTCCCCGGAATGGTGAACAGTATTTTATCCTGCATCGACGGACTCACATTTTCCCAGATATCTTATTCAAAATTCGTATACATTTTAATTTTCGAAATACGAAAACAGACTCGAGTACGCTGATATTTTTAAAGGAACAAGAATCAGAAATGTATCCCTTATTCATTGACGAACGAGGTACTGTACCTCAGCAAATCTTCCGAATAAAGGCGCGTATATTTAATTAAAATTATGATCATTACTGCAATCAAATTAAACAAAAAAATGGAAACTTGACAATTTTAAAACACGTGTCTGGATCGATGTATAATTTATGAAATGCGTGATCCTAATTTCGATTATACTGTCGATTATAAAATGTTGAAATGTATGAGAGTGACGATGGGCATAACACCGTGTTTCTGTCGTTTTAATGCCCGATCGACAAAGGCACGGTATTGCAGTGAAGGTTCCTGGATATTTAGAAAACAAATATATCTCGCGTAATCCAACTGCAATTTTTCATCATATTTTATTTGTGAAAAGTCTGAAGACCGGTTATGATGTGTGCAAGTGTGGTGTTCATGGGAACTTACGTCCTCTGGGATGATGAGACTGGCGCGTCGCTCCATGACTTCGGGTGGGATAAGTGAACCCCGCCGACTGGTTGACCCCCGTCGGTCACCAGCCCCTGGCATCGGAGACTTTTCTTTCGAATCGACCTTGATTTCCGGTACGGCTTTCTTGGGCTAAAAAAAGCAAAGCACGAACGAAGCTGAACGAGTTGGAGATTGAAGCAACAGCAAATGATTTGAATAAATACGATAAAATAACTACTGAAGCCGTCAGAGATTGCATGCATGCTGCACAGCATTTAATAAAAAAAAACACGTACTGCATGCGTGAGCTGCCAAAATCGGGTCATTGCCTTTCGACGTGTATTTGAATCAATGATTTTCAACCATTTGTCCAAACGGTCCTCAATGGTTGTTGTATAAATCAAATTCGAGTGCTTATATAGAGGCTCAGTTTTATTCTCCTTTCAAATTTATCTTCTTGTGAGCAGTTGAGACTGTGAAAAGCCATGAATTTCTGCCATGCTCCAGTGTTTTTTATTTCTGTTTGCAAATCTTGACTTTTCTTACAAAGCTGGAAATACCTTCAGATCTTATTTTATTTTCTATATGGCAAAAGCATTGAATTCTTCCTTGTTGAATTGTTTTCTCTCGCGTATTTATTCCTCCATCTCAAATACTACTTTATTCATTTCAATCTCCTAATGCCCACAAGTGAATTTCACGCCTCGAGTTTGCAGAGAAAATTTTGACTAGAAACACAGTATCGTATATCCCTGCAAAAGGCACGTACCACGATTTTGGGTGAATAAAGTCCATCTCTAAATTCTCGATGAATGCAAATTTAAATTTGGATAAAATAAAAGTGAAAATTGAGAAGCGAAAAGCCTAATAGGACTGCAATGC